GTCAAAGCCGATATACTCATTAAGATCTTTTGACTATTGGCCATAATTAAGTCTTTAAGATCATAAAAGAGAGGTTTTAGGCACCAGATAATACGCTAGGAGGGTCTTAGGTACCAACAACAATCTAAAATGACAATTAATTCTAATGATATAATATGCTTTGCAAAATACAAAAAATAATGTTAATAATAAATATGATCATAGTCTACATATTACTAAAGAATTTGCAAATATAAATAGTGTGTATTCTAGTTTAAATAATATTACTGATATTATGTGTTCTTGGTTTTCTAAATTAGATAAAAATCAAAAAATAAATCAAAATTATCTAGAGACTAAAGTTGAGTCTATAGAATCTAAAATAGACAATTTAGGTTCTATAATAAATATTGATTTAAATAAAGAAACAAAAAACCAAATAAACAATTTGGTGACAAAATTAGAAACTATATCCTTCATAAACAATGATGGAATGAATAGTCCAAGAGATAGTGACATCCCTAGGCTATTTTACGGTACAGAAGATATTATGGTACTTCAAACCAATACCTATAATAAAATTGAATATGAAAATATTGTTGAAATATTGGATTATTGGAGAAAATTATATAAAAACCCAGACTTAGGTATTGATGAAAGAAATAGGCTACTGGATCAAATAAGAGAAACTTATCTAGAAAATGAAGCCATTTTGCAACACTTTAATTATGATATTAATATGTCAACTAATGATGATGACAGCTAATCATCCTCATCTGAAGAATCAATAGATCAAGATATTTCATCAGAAATAAATAAAGGGAAAAGAAAGACAGAAGAGCCAATTGATCCCGAATTATTTGGCACATGGGGGGATGGAGAAAATTTTGATTTTATTCAAACAAATGAAGTTTAAAATGATATTAACATTGGAAGTACCTCCAATCCTACACCTGAGCCAGTAATATCTAGAAAAGATAATAATCATAAGTATCCAATAGCTCAAAATGGTACTTATTTAGACTTGTCTCGTGTTCCTTTTAAGGATCAACCACAAGCAATAGATGATTGGGCACAATCCTTGTCCATTATTATTACCAATTATAAAAATAGTTGGTCAAAGGAAAAATTCCTTGATTATATTGCAGCAACTCTCCAGGGAGATGTGTTGCAATGGTTAAGACAGTGGAAAAATCTAAAATTGGGAAAAGTCAAAAAACGACTTTGTTAGCAAATTTTCTCACACTTGACACAATTTTAGCTGAATTTGCAAAAATCATAAAAGAAAATTTATGTGATTTTACAGGAGATACTAATTTGCAAGCAGATGCAAATTATATTTTGACTAAATTAGAATTATGTAATATTTGTCTTTTTGAAGATTATGTTCAAACTTTTAAAAAATATTATTATCTTATTGATCCACCAGCAAATCAACCCTGATTAGATCAATTTTTTCATAAACTCCCTAATCCATGGGATGAGTTATGTATCAAAACATATCCTGATTTTCTCAAAAAAATGGGGAAGGAAGAATATGATAATCTTGGTTTTCGCATTAATTATGTTCTAAGGCTGATAGCAGATCGGTGTCTAGAAGCAAAGGCGAAAAACAAATAAAAAATCAAATTTCTAACTCACTATATGGTCAAAAACGTTGTGATAAAATTTTAAAAGAAAATTGAAAAATTGGTTGTAATACATTTCCTAAAAGGAAAGGATTTGCCAAAAAGCGTAGAAAATATAAATGCAAACCTTGGCAAAGGAACAAAACTTTTTCAAAAAAGAAAAAGTATATTCGAAAAAAGAAACCAACAAGTGTTTCAAAAAAGAAAACTTGTAAATGTTACATTTGTAACGAAGAAAGTCACTATGCACCCGAATACCCAAAACGGGAAAAAAGTGCAAAGAAAATGATCAAAGTCCTTGAAGAACAAGATTTTGAAATAATATATGGAGAAGAAATTTCTAATGAAGAAGAAATCTTATATGAAATTTCTAGTGATGAAGAAAGTTCAGATGAAGAACTAATCTTCATGATGACTAGGCTGTGCTGGCTGTTGGGGAGGGGTGCGTCGACGGTTGTTTCTGATGGGTTCAGTCCGTTGCCTCTGTTGAGGGCGAGTATTTGTGAATCGGCTGAGGCGTCCTTGACGAATCAGGCCCTCGACTTGATCTTTGAGGTTAACACACTTCTCGGTATTATGGCCGTGATCCTGGTGAAAACGGCAATATTTGGACTGGTCTTTCCGATTGGAAGGAGTCCGTGATGGTTGGAGCCATTTTAGGGGGTAGTCCCGCTGGATCTGATGGAGGACTTGTTCCATGGGAGAGTTTAGGGGGGTATACCGCTCGAACCGGTCGGGCGGTCGGGCTGGGGCCGACCAGTCGGTTCTGGGGGGTCAGTTAGTGTACTGAGACGTTTAGTTATTGTACTGGATATTTCTGGTGTCTGAATCTTTTCTCTTTTCTCTGGGGGTCGGGTTTTTGGTTATAGGATCTTGCCGGGCGGCTAGGGAATCTTCAACATTCATGTATTTTTGAGCCTTGGAGAATAGGGCTGCCATAGAGGTCGGGGGGTTTTTAGAGAGGGAGAAAAGGAAGTCCGACGACCGCAAACTGGCCATGAAAGCCGTAAGGATGACCTTGTCATCGTTTTCCGCTACTTGCAAGGCTTCGGTGTTGAAGCGGGTAACGAAACTGCGTAGCGACTCCCCCTCGGTCTGACGGATGTTGAGGAGTTGGGTTGCCGGACGCCGCTGACGCTGGGCTCCAATGAAATGGCTGAGGAAAGAGTCACTGAGGTGCTGGAAAGTGGAGACAGAGCCTGCTGGCAGTCGACTAAACCAAAGTCGAGCTAACCCCTTGAGTGTCACGGGGAAAGCCCGGCACATGATTTCGTCAGGGAAAGCATGGAGGATCATGAGGGTCCTGTAGGTCTCCAAATGGTCGACTGGGTCTGTCGTACCGTCAAAAGAGTCAATGGTGGGCATTTTGAACTTGGAGGGTAGAGGTTTGTCCTGGATGGAGGCAACGAATGGCGAGTTGGCTGTGGGAGAGGGTTTATGCTGGATGTTCTGCATGACCCCTTGGAGTTGGAGCTTCATGGCTCGAAGTTTTGCATCCCAGAGAGGAATGTTGTCACCACCGAGGGGAGCGAGGGCTGGACGCTACTAGCCTCTCCTTCAGGGGTTGGTGCCAGGACCAATGGATGTGGGGGTCGGGGTGGTGGATTTATATTTGGGGGAGGAGGTTGCAAGCCTTCCAAGTTGGGTGGATAAGGCAGCTAGATAGTATGGCTCGGGGCTCGTTCTTGGTTGGGTGGAATATCTGGAGATGGTGGAGGAGACATAGGAAGGTCTCTTTGGAGCAGGGCATTGATTAGAGCTTGGTTCTGCTCGGCAAGGTGATTAATGCTATTGGTGAGCTCGGTAAAGTATTGTGGTGGGTTGTTTGGATTAGGAGGGTCGGCTTGGTGGTCGGGAACATTGGGGTGGGAAGCCATGGATCTAGTCGTGACCATTCACCTTTGCAGGTGACAGGAAGGGGTTATTGGGAAAGGGCCTCCGGCAACAATGAGCACAACTGACGAACAGAGTAAGAAAGGTTCCCACAGGCGGCGCCAACTGATGATACAGTTCATTCCAATGAACGGGTCGGACTGATCCACGCTCCTCACACCTATGTCCGAATGACCAAGTCCACCAAAAGACCTGCACACGAGTTCAACGGGGAACGAAGAGACCCCCAACGAACCCTCCGATGAGCAAGTTAGAGTGAGATTGGAGATAGAAAGTTTAACCTTCTTCTTGTCTTCAACGTCTGCTTATATCCTCTGGTAATCATTTCATTGTCCCTTCCGACCTGTCACCTTGGCCGAAAGTCTATGCTGTAACTTACCTTGTTCAGGGTGAGGGCATACTGTCCCGACGGAGAGGAATTATCGCAATAAATGCTGTAAGGGACCTCATTAATGGCGATGTGACGTAGCAATAACTTTGCAGATCTTTATCTACTGCTGTGGCTTGCCCTTCTCTTGCCATGTGTCTTGATACCATTGGTTCTTATTACTATGTGGGGCTTCAACAGTGCTGGGCTTCATTAATTGGATTATGTATTGGGCCCTAAATGATGGGCCTGAATTGTTCATAGTGGGCTGTAGCCTTTATAGGCCTACCCATGTCATATTCTAGCATATATAAAGTGAACAACTTTTACTTAGTAGTGTTCTGAAATCTACTCTCTCCTTTTGCCAAGTAAATTTTTTCTATATCAAAAAATACAAATTTATATAGTGAAATAAACAAAACTTGAACCTAAGACCTTTGGTTTGATAAACTAAGCAGCACACATTACATATACTTTTTATTCAAAATCAAAATTTATATTTTACAAATTTAATAATACACCGATCAAGTAGGCACACCCTCTAGTATATATAAAGTCACTTGATAAGCTCCTTCTCTTTTTCGCCAAGTGAATTTTTTATTTATTTATCAAAAACTAAAAATTAAATAGTGAGGTGAACAAGACTTAAAACTAAAACTATTAGTTTAATAAATAACTTTACCACTTTACCACTTAGTAACACACTACATATTTTTAATTCAAAATCAAAATTTATATTTTACAGATTTGTCACAACCATGGGCACACAGTCACTAGGGGGTGGTTTGTGATAATCTAAATAAATATATTTTTTGACTTTTTATGAAATATGAGTTAAGTATAGATTGGATTTGAAGTGATGTGTTAGAGAGGTGATGTGACTTAAATAAGATGATATAACTTAAATAAGATAGTGACTTTTTGACTTTTTTAAATCATGCCAAACAAATTATTATAAAGTAAACACCTCTAGTAGTGACCTGAAGTTTCTCTCTCCTTGCGCCAAGTATCCATTTCTCTATTCAAAAAATAAATAAATAGACAAAGGAGCGACGTGTACCACTTGAGTGATACACAATATATAGTAAATATTTTATTTTATTTTTACTTGTTTGAATTGCACACTGCTAGTATAGATAATACAAACAATTTCAAATAAAATGATACAATTAGTACAATCTATTTGCTCAATGTTTCTAACTACTAAAATGGACATAGCAGAATTCCTTTCTGTTCATCCATCGATACCAGAGTTTAAACATAGATCTCAATGCAAGTTATTAATGCCAAACTACAATGTACTTACTATCTATCTCACACAAACAATGGCTCATTAATAGATAGAAGTAAAGTTCCCTTACAATGATTTGGATAAATTATATATGTTAAACATCATCAACCTCTTAGAAGCATTTTGTCAGGTTTAGTTGTCGGATAAATTTTCATTCATATGCGCGTGAACTCATCACACAAAATACCTACCTCCTCTAGTTGTAGCAAGTCTTAAATGAAACTGCAGCCTGCCAGATTTTGTTTTAGGACTCGTTCTCGGCCGATCTCTTTCCCCTTGCAGCAAATGTTTCCGCAACCAGTAGAGGAAAAGCAATAGTCGCATCGCAATGTACCTGGTTAGAACCAATCAAAAGGCCGAAAACAATTAAAATCATACTATGACCATGGTTGTTAGAATCTTTATGATTCACGATTCGATTCATATGATTCGATACAAATTTCAACCAAAACTATTCAATTTGTGCTGTTATATCTTAAACTGATGAGCAAAACTTATGATTCAATTGCGATTCAGTATGATTTTGTGATTCACTTCAAGCCACTGCAATTCAATTTTGTTTGCATAATAATGAAACAGTGTTGTTTTTACACAACAAAAACAAGATAAATTAACCATAAATATGTTTTGTAACTTGAAGCATTTTCTTAGATTAGCCATTCGGCAATTTCAGGAAATTTGGTTCCATAGAGTAAGGATTGAACATGGGCCTTCCATTCCAAAGTCAGTACAAATATTAGAAACCATATTGAAATCAATGCATTACTTTAGTAATCCAGTGGATTGTTCAACATATACCAGATGTATGAAGCAGTAAGCAAAAACAGAGATTTCAAATCAATTTTGCATAATAATCTTTAATTGCCAAGTGTACAAATGGATAAGAGAATGTAATGTCAATTATACAAAATGGCCTATAAAAGAGATGTGATACTACATTTATGCTAAATAATTAATCTTACAATTTCCGATTCACTATTTAGCAAAACAATTCACGATTCGATTCATGATTTGATTAAACAAGCATGCAAATAACCAAAATGGCAAACAATTAACAAAAGATGCAAATTGGCCAACAGATCTGCACAGGTTATACTAATAACAGAAGCTTCAAGGTCACAAAAGAGAAGGAAAAAAAGTTAAACCTTAACGGTCTTAGCAGAACCTCGTATTTTTCCCCATGATACAGCTTCATCAGGACGAGCACCAGAATCACTACCATCAAACTCTTGCGCTGTGTTAATAAAGACTGCATAATCTGCCCCGTTACGCATCATATTCGCATTGCAAATGTGATGCTTGGGAAGTCCACCTCCAAGAATTATCATTCCAGTCTTCCTAGGACTTGCATGGACAGCTTCACCATTCATGGCCCTAATATCTATGTATAGAGCTAAGGTCATCAATTCATTTCCTAAGTTATCGTATACTGGGCATGAAAACGACATACAAAGGAGAAGCTTTACCTTGCACTACGTCAACGACTAGACCGGGCTTGCGGAAAGAATGAAAGTATAGCATATCCCCCAAAGAGCCGTCAGTTAAGCCAGGGCAGAAGACTGGAATATTGTTCTATGAAGCAAAAAAATATTACAGCAATGGTCCACGGCAGAGTCCTAGAAGAAATTGCATATTTATATAATAGACAATAATAGCAGGTTGATGTGTGTGTCCACACCAATAGTTTAGATAAACAATTATACATATCATCAAATGCCTATTCTTTTTTTTTTTTTGAACCAGATCATCAAATGCCTATTCATATGCAGATGTTTGACTCGTTGGACAAAGCCATCCATGAAAGAACAAGATTTGCTTACTATTCAAATGCAAATGCTTGACTTGTTGGACAAGCAATCCATGCAAAAACAAGAATTTCTTTGTTGAATTTTTATTTCCAATTCTTTTGGCAAATTTCTCATGAAAAGGGATCTTTATAATTAAGCAAAAATTGACACTTTTTTACCAGCAAATCCATTAAAAAATAATATTCCAAAGTCATATATGAAACTTGTTTTACAGTCGAGGAAAAAAACATAAATAAAATGTCATTTGCCCATACCCCTTTCTTCGCCCTTTTTGCATGTCTCACACCTCTTGTTGATACCATCATACATTTCATTTTTCAAAAAATTTACCAACAGTTTCGTCACTCCTTTTAATCACCCCCCCACCCCCGAGGAAAAGCTCACCTCATTTATCATTTTCAAATTACCTCAATAATCTGGTGTACTCTTGTATGCTTCAGTTTCAAGGAATTATTTGTGAGGTTTTGTGGCTATGGAATGCAGGTTGGATGCTGGAGTGATAACAATTATGGCGGTGTTTGGCAAGAATTTTGCCTAGGTTTTTTTTTTTTTTTTTACTAAAAGACAAAGTTTTTACAAAACTAAAAAAAACAAATCCAAACAAAATATCACATCCAACCCCATAATCATTTCACTTTTTCTCTCACAAACATCACATCCAATCACAAAAAAACCCAACTATCTTCCCAAACACCAAAATTTTTTTATCCAATAATATCCTACAACTAAAAAAACCTATATAAAAACCCACTTCCCAAACACCCACTATACATGAATTAAATGAATTGGGTTGATTCAACTACACCGGCAGGTTGATGTAAAGGGTACAATGATCGTAGAAGGAGAAGAGGGAAGGGGCTACAGTAGTGCAATAGATGGATGGGGGATGCAGATGTGGAAGGAGAAAGGCAAGGGCATTGCAGCTGTAGCAGAAAAAGAAGGGGAGTAATTTGCACTAGGGTGAAAGAAAGTTTTGGCTGGCAACAATGGGGGAAGGAAGGGATATGAATAAAAATGACATTTTATCTATAGTTTTTCCTATACATAGACTCCAAAAAAAAAGAAAAATTTATTTAATTGACTAGATGGTAAATAGTTTGTCAACTTTTACCTTAATTGTAATAATCCACAACAAAGAAGTATTACAGGAAATACAATTAGAATTTAGCTTACTAATAGAAAGCAATCAAAATTTTGAGAATGAATAATGAAGAAATATGATTCTCATTTTTCCATTGGAAAGTTACCAAGGAATAGTCATTACTACCTTTGTTTGGTTGAGTTTTCAAAATCATTTTTCTAAAAAAATTCCAAAAACTAGTTTGGTGATAAAAATGAAAGAAAAACAAATCAAAAACTCACTATTTTTTATGTGGTTTTCTATCTGTTGGAGAGGAAATAATTTTGAAATTTAAAAAATTTCTGTTTTGGTTTTATTTTTGTCAAATTAGTTTCTAATTTTTCAGGAAAAACAATTGAGCAGACAAGTTTTGAAAACTCAACCGGAAACCTTTCTTAGACTAAATTCAGCTGTAGGAAGTCTTGCTTCTTTACCCACAATTAAAATCTATGATGCTCACAGAAAGTCGTTTCAGGCTTGACATACAGAATTCAAATCAAGCTAGTACAAGGTCCTATGTAAGATGACAGCCCAAGAAAAACACAATTATTATAACGTCATGTAGGAGGAGCATGGAGTTTGATTTTGTTCACACAACTATTGGTTAAAAACCATGGAGCCCACAAGTTTACATGGGATCGACACACTTTTTGGATATGAAACTCAGAGCTTTGGACCAATCAGATAGTGTGTATTGTTCAACAATTCATTTCCAAGGAGCATGGCTTACAATTTGATCCAAGCTACCTTTTTCATCTCAACAGTAAAATAGCAAGTTGCACAAATGCAAAACACACAACAACAAAAAAATATATAATTCGAATGCAAAAACTTAGAAATGATGGTGATTATATATTAAATGTTGTCCATGATACAATATAATAAATTTTAAAATTTGAGTTAGTTATAGAAAAATCAGGTTAAATTGATTGGATGTCTACCTTGTATGCCCAGTAGAGGTATGAACTCTCATTGTTTATTTCTTTCCCTTTTTCCCTAAGCGAGCAATAACTTTAGATGGAGTCCACAATACATTCTGCAAGACAAAAAAGAAAATGGGTAGTATGAAAGTTAACCAATGTCCTTGGAAAGCAGTTCATGATTAAAAGCAAATAGTGGAAAAGTAAAAGGAACAGAAAATTATATGTTTCATTTCATAATGTATCAAGACATTTTATAAACTACATAACACCACTTAGGGAACCTTAAAAGTATATTGGTGCTCACAAGTGAAAATATGTAGCATTGAGAAAATCTTAAGTTACATAATGGGATATCATTACCCATCCGCAAAAAGTATCACGCACTTAAATTTCATCACACATACAATTCTCACTAGAAAGGGATTCATCAGATAATTATCACTTCTTTTTTTTTCAGATATCAGTTTTTTCTTTTATATATTCAGCACGTATGTAACATGGCTGTAATAGATACTGCTCCAAAGGATGAAAGAGCAATATTAGCATTGCATCCAGTCATGGTAAATTTTGAGGACAGCACTGCTACAAGTTTGCAACTAGCAAGCCAACTACGTGGGAAAATATAAAAATTAAATACATATATATTAGGAACGTTCATGGTAAGCCAACTGTTAAGTATGCACACAATCAAAGTAAAAAAAGTAAATAGTAATACCTTCGCAGTCTGCTCTTCCAACATCTGGTCAAATATTGGAATGATCCAATCCTCAAATTTGCAGTAGTTCTCATTGGGAACCAACAAGTTACCAATGCGGTTCAATCCTTTTGAGCGTAAATGAGCTCCAGGTAAAGAAAAATCGCCTTTATATGTCGGTGCGAGGCATTTTATAAGGTCTTCTTCAACACCACCAGCTGTTGTAACAACTACATCAACCTACAAACAGATAACAGCTCGAGTGACATAACTGGGTAAAAATTTCTAACTTTCTGAGTAATGATCTAGACATGTAATAGATGCAAAAATGTGCAATTACAAATAACCAAACCAAACCAAACAAAGCCTTAAGTTCCATCAAATGGGATCAGTTACATGAATCCTTCTTCTCCACTCGACTCTATCCAAAGCCATTTTGTTCATATCTCTATTTACTACACTAGCCCACGTCAATCTAGATTTGCCCATTCCTCTAACACTTTCATCAACCATCACTGTATCGCATCTCTTTACTATTGTCTCTGTTGGTCTCCGTTGTATACGACCATACCATCTCAATCTATTTTCTCTCAACTTATCTTCTATCAATACTACTCCTATCCACTCTACCTTTTCAAATTAATAAAAGGTTTATTACAAAAACAATTCGTAGTGCTCAAAAACCATTTTCAATCCTTTCATCAAATATTTATCAAATCAAGGAAGAACTATTTTTTTCATCAAATTGAGAATTCAACAAATCTTTCATCAAATTTAAATTTGAAGAAAAATTAAAAATTAAAGCATTGGAGTTTTTTTTTTTTTTTTTCCATCAAATTTGATGAAAAGGAAAATTTGGGATAAGAGGGAAATTTTTAAAAAGATTTTGATGAAAGAGTTAAATTAGGGTAGTTCATATCAAATCAAGCTTTTTACTCAAATTTGGAATCAAATTAGATGAAAAAAAAGTAGTGAAGGTTGGAGATTCTCTTAGCGCATCTCCAACGCTTACTCAAATTTTTATCAAATTTGAGTAAAAGTTTGATCAGATATATTGCGCTCCAATCATTTCATCTAATCTGGTCAGTCGTCCAGTCGGCCAAACGTCCTAGAGCAAATTTTCAGCAAAACTTCCAAAAGCCGGGTCATCCACCCGGTTGTCCCTATGAAATTTGATAAAAAGTTAAACGTTCCCTTGATTTGATGAAAAATCTAGCATCGCCTTCATTTGATATGGGTTTGATGCCACGGTTGGAGCAGAAAAAAAGGGCATGTTTCATCAAATTTAAATTTGATGAAACATCTAAATAAACGGTGGAGACGCTCTTAGAGCCACAAATTGTTCAAATATTCAAGATAAAATTGCATTTCAACGTTGTCTAAACGATATTTGGTCCAATTACCAGTTTCCACATTCTAATTTGTTGCAACAACTACCAGTAGAATTGACATGTCTTCTTTAAGTTCATGTATCTACTTTCACTCAAAAATGAGGGCTTTTGAACTATGAAACTGACAGAACAATCACATTTGCAAATCAAATTGCCTTCTTTTTAAACATAGATACCACTCAAAATATATTGGGCGCGCGCACACACACACATGATTCACTCACCATGTGATGCTGAACAAGATAGCGAATGGTGTCTCGAACACCAGAAGAAATCAAATTGGATGTAAAACCCAGAAAAACCTTGCACCTCATGGACTCTCTGTATGCCGGGTTTCTCTCCTCTTCGCCGCAGTCCTCCGTCAAAGACTCGTCGGAAAGCCTCCAGTCTAGCTTCAAACCCCCAATCAAAAACCCAAAAGTCCAAACATAAATAACATACATAATTTGAAAAAAAAAAAAAATCAAAAAAATTGGGGGTTTTGGAAATCGAACCCACCATTTGATTGACAACTTCAATGGCATCGCCGAGATTGGTGGCTTGAAACCCAGTTGAGACCATGGATTTAAGAAGCTCAGAATAGTTGACGCCTCGGTTGAAATCATAGCCTTGGATCTTAATACAAGATCCTTCGAGAGTCTCTGATTCTTTGAAAACTACTGAGCGTACGGAATCCAAAAGACGTTCTTCCATGTCTTCTTCCCCCATTGTTCTGCAACAACAAAAAAATGGAGCTTTTTGGCTACCGTAACAACCACAAGAGGGAACCCAGAAAAATTCAATTCAATTCAATGAAAAGGAAGAACTTTATAGTAGAAATACATGGTGAAATACTAGAAGACTAGAAGATTACAGAAGAATGAATTTATGTTATGTTGGAAGTAATCTTTATCACAAAAAAGGTAACCCCTTACCTGGAATTGTCAAAAAAATTTCCCCCGACACAAACTTCTTCTCCACAAAGGGGGGTACTGCCGCCGCCCAAGCCCGGAGAAGAAGGTCAGTCTTCAGTCTTCACCGATTGCGGTGGCGACCAGGAGCCCTAATTGTGTGTTTGGTTTTCTGTTCAAATAATTTTTTGAAAAAATTACAAAAATAAAACAAATTAAAATAACCAAAGTTTGTTTGCTGACATTTATGCTTTTTCTATTTATATTTATATTTTTGAAAACTACAAGTAAAAACTCGTTTGTTTCTATTTTGTGTTTTTAAAAGAAAAAATTACACATAAATCTCATTTTGAGAATGTTAGTTCATTTAATTTTATATCACAAATATATATAAAATGAATCTGATGCCTAAATTCGCTGGGAAAAAAAAACTTGAAAATTAATTTTTAAAGAAAAAAGTGTAAACCGCAAACCGCCCGCAACCGCCCGCACATTTGCAAACCCTATCCGCACAAACCGCAAACCGCACTGCGGGCGGTTGCGGGTTGACTTTTTCCCAAACCGCATACATGCGGGCGGGTCAAAACCGAACCGCAAACCGCACAAAACCGATCCGCGAACACCCCTATGTCCACCCAAACAAACATGACCTTAGAGTTTACTTGTATACCCTTTGGTTGAGATTTGATTTTGATATTTGTTTGGGTTGTGGGTAAGATGTGAGGTAACATTTTTATAGGCTTTGTTTGGTTTGTTTTTCAAAAAAAAAAAATTAGGAAAAATTTTCTATAAACAAATTTTCAAGAATAATCAAACTAAACAATTTTTTCTAAAAAAAATTTAAATTTTTATTTGGTTACCTACTTTCCAGAGTTACTCTCTCTCTCGTACACATCAAATCAATTACTTTTTTTAAAACTCTCTCTCCAAAACAATTTTCTAAAACCATTTCTGAAAAAAGGTAAACCAAACAAGTTTTCGTTCTTTTTATCCCAAAATCTACTCTACAAATACAAACCAAACAAGGTCATTTTAGGGATTTGGTGGAGTGATGAGGGGATTGTGATGTTACTGAAGTGGTGTATTGTTATTAATGTTCAACCCATCAGCAACATCCCCACCCTGTTCCCAAATCACAATTGAATCAAACATTCACATGCACCTTACATCTACCATGTTTGCATAATTCTGAACAACTACCCAAACAACATCAACACAATCCACATGAAGTTCTCGCGCCTGTACTCACTAACAGCCACACACCCCAAAATCACATTACTCACACACTCGCACCATAACATATCAAGCAACTACATTACTTGAACATCTCAAAACATAACATTAACTTGAAGCACATTTTTCCCCAGCAAATGTTGTCGTAACAGCACAAACACACATCCAAATAGCATTTTATGCAGCCAGTAAACACAACATAATAACACTTTGTCCATCAAAAATCAAACAACTTCTATTTTCGCTTTCAGCATAAACAACATCATTACAAACATACAGAAATCGCAATTTCAAACCACAATACGACTTACAAATCCAATCACTGACGAAGTTAGTTCAACATCATACATTCACATGCCTACTGCCATCGTAGAATGAGGTCAAAGCATTGACGATGTTTGTTCATCGATGTTACGGTCTCACTGACTATTAGAGTTCAAGGATCCTCAGTTCTCATGGCGAATCGTTTATGCAAATCTTACCAACGCATACGCTTTTTTCGATTTCTAGGGTTTTTGTGGCTCCTGTGCTATGTTAATGTTAGATTGAATATTCGAGGGTCAATACTACCAAATGTGAAAATTCAATCACCCCGGTTGAGGATGCCAATCACTAACGTTGGAATACTAACCCAGAATCTTCCATAATATCTTAACCGTTTTATTCGGGACGAAGGGAAAACATAAAAAAGACGATAGTAAGCTTTTGGGTATTTTGGTCACTACAACATTACTAAAATCTAATATTTACCCTCTACCAACAAAAAGTCATGCGTTAATTAAATGGGTATATACATAATTAACGTTCAAACAGGATTTATCAGTCTACAAAATAAAATGTAGGACCAAATTGTTCAACCCATTAACATTTTGGAACTTATTAGTGCTTTGCCCTTTTTAAAAAGTTATAAATAGAAATTTATTAAAGTTTTGTTTGACGTTGGCTAATATAGTCAATTTTTTTGTATTCAGATTTTTTTAGCCTGGTTTTTTCAACCTCGTTTGGTTTAGATATTTTGACTTTTGTGAGAGAAAAAATGTAATGATTATGAGTTTGATGAGATATTTTGTCTTATTAACTTGTTTTATCATTTTGTATTTTTTTAACTCCAAAATGATAGCCAAATTAGGGCTAAATTTTGTAAACACAAAAAAGTGAGTTTCGTTTGTTTTTTTTTTTTTTTTTTCATTTCTTCTTCTTTCTCTCACTATTTTCGACTATCACCTATTTCTCTCTGGTCTTGATCTATTTCATCCCCTCCTCAACTTTATTTATTAAATATATATATAATAGAACTCGTGTTATGCATGTATAAAAATAATAAATTTAATTATAATTTTTTAAATAAAAATTGGAGTGATTTTTTATTTATGTTTCAACGTTACACTAACAACATGATTTATGTAGATTATTTTATATGTTTTTAAACAATTTTTTTTTAATTTATTAATGTAATAAAAAAATTATTTTGTAAAAATAAATATTGCATTTTAATATAAACATTTGAAAGTAGTGTTAATGTGTTTATAACTTGCAAACATATTCTATACATTCAAAATTCATCTAAAATTTTAAATTTAAGCTAGTAAGAGTATCCACGCCAATCTCTTCAAATTTGTAGTCAAATTATAACTTCTATTTTGCTATTTTAACTAGTCACCTTTTTAGTACTCACTGCATCAAATTCTTTATTCTAACTCAATCCTATTAAAATATTATTTTCTTATTGTATTTGTTATTCTTTTTTTTTATTTATTAAATTGATGAGCTGTCAACCAAACAATTCTTAAAAAAAAATAAAATAACTAAATTGCCGTTGACCGGTCAGACTTCCCGGCGGATATCTGATAACACTTAATCCGCTTGTTGTAACGATGAACAGTACCTCACTTCATCAAGTGAGACACTGTAGCGTTGGCAAAATGAATGAACGCTATACCGAGTCTGATGGAGCACATATTCTTGACTTTTGCTCTCTATAATGGCTTCAAAGCCATTGTTGAAGCCATTGTAGAGAGGCTGATACTGATGCTCTAAGATGTTTAGCACTAAATGTTTAAAGTACTTTGAACATGAGTTTTATATTAAATCTTAATAAAAAAAATTATCATTCTTAATTTAATATTAAACAAATTAAGTACTATTAATTACAAATTGTAAAAAAAAATAGCATTATAATTTATTACTTGAATTTTAGTTATTTATTTTTATTAAATATATTCAAGTGTAATCAACCTAAAATTTTTGTTTTTTCAATTACGAAAATTGTAGTGAACTATGTATTCACAACTAATTTTGATAGAATATTTTTACCTTATTAGTATACTATTAAATTAACTTAAGCTTATTCGTGATATTACACTATGTTTAGGATATAACATATTTTTGATTGGCTTTCTTTAAAAGTGGACGTCTTAATTAATATAAACTCGATTTCATTTATGAAAAAGGTAAATTTTTTTATTATTTAATCATAAGTAAAATAATATAGCTTCCGTTTGGGAAGTGGGTTGGCTTTTTGGCTTTTTGGCTTTTTTGGCTATTTTAGCCTGGGCTTAAAAGCTTGGTTTGGGAAGGGCTTTTTGGCTTTTTGGCTTTTTTGAATTTTTTTGTGAGAGAAGAATGTAATGATTATGGGTTGGATGTGATGTTTTGTTTGTTATGGCTAAAATAGCCTATTTTGTTTTTTAAGGCTAAAATAACCAAAAAAGCCCAAACCATGGCTTCCCAAACGAAGCCTAATAGTTTAAGTTGTCATGAAGAATGTGTTAAACATAATGTTAACTAATGAAATTGATAAATTTAAAAATATAAATCAAATATTTCATCAATCATACTAAAACATTTATGTTGAGTACAATTACATTAAAATAATAAAGTAATTTTGAAATTTTATTTCTTTGTTATTTATAATAAAATCATATTGTGCTATAGACAATTTTTTTTCATTAAATTAAAACTCGTTTACGAACTTACTCCACAATTTTTATATGTTCGTGCATGGATTTTAATTTTTTATTCTTAAATTTAACCTTTTCATAATTAAAAAAAAAATATTCTAAAACCCTTGTCATAACAAAAAAATTAAATTTCAAATATATTATCATTCCATTACTTTAGTATAATGTCATTTTACTTGTAAGCTTGGTATTGAGTAACCTAATTATGATTAATTTAATACAACTCATATTTTTATTGTAACATTTAAGAATAAGAACTTTTTTTTGGGGTAAAAATTTTGGTTTAAAATTTATTATGAGTGGTGTGGGCTCATGGCTAGCAATCACAATATTTTTTGGAATCTTGATATCTTAATTTTGATTTTATAATATATTATTTCAAATTCTTTGCAATTTTCATAAATAAACTAATTTTCTGAATGTATTTAGCTCAAGAGTTGATTCAGCTAAGAGAAGCTAGAATAATTATAAAGATATTATTTTAAGGGCTCTCCTCCCAAAAGTCCAAATTTGAATGGTCTTTGTTCAAACAGCAATGTTAGGTATCATGAAAAGTCTTTCATGAAAATGATCATGAAAGATTTGTGACCTTTGGATCACACTTAGAATAAAGCACCACATACTAGTCACGGTAATCTAAGGGTTACAAATCTTTCATGATCCCCAACATTTCTCTTGTTCAAACGTCCAAACTCAAAAATATGTTGTCCATAAAGACATGATGAGACGAAATGACCAAATTACCCACATAAATTTATAAATCCCGCTCTCTCCTCAGTCCCATTTCCCAAACCTATTCATCTCTCTCTCTCTCTGTCTCTCTCTTGCACCATCGTCGTAGCCTCTTTGTCGTCACTGTTTCGCTATCTCCGCCACCTCTCAACCGTTGCCTTCACCAACCAATGCGTCGTCAATAGCCTCGTCTCCTCTGTCATCCGGCTCCACAACAGTGACTTCGAGCCCTCGAATTCTCCATCACCGCTATCGTCCTTAACCACCCCATCGCCGCCGTCTCCCGTATATATATGGATGTA